CAAGAAGGAATTAAATTGTGTTTAAAATAAGAAAATACATTCCTAAAACTCCTTACCTAAACTGAATAAAAAAGTTGTAAGAACATCCCTAAAATTTCTAACATAAATAAAAAGGAAAATATATTTTTAAGAAGGAATCAAATATTTTCAATTCCGAGAATTCTTATTCATAAGTAAAAATAGCACGGTATAGCCACTTTTCGGACTGGTCATTCATAAATTGCCAGCATTTACCAAGTCAATGAAAAATAGCCACTAGTTTGCTGCAACAGATACCGGTCCAGCATAATATACTGGAGTTCGATGCACCTGTGTATGAACTTCAGCATATTATGTTGGACCGGTATACGTTGCTGGCTCCAGTATAATATACTGGAGACTAGAGCACCGATGCTCCAAACTCCAGTATATTATGCTGGACCGGTATATTTGCTGGAACTCTAGTATATTATATTGGAGTTCTAGTGTACTTATGCTGGAACTCCATCATATTATCCTGGAGTTCCAACATACTTATCCTGGAACTCCAATATAATATGTTGGAGTTCAAGTATACTTATGCTGGAACTCCAGCATAATATACTGGCGTATTTTTCGGGTTTTGAACAGTGTTTTCGCTTAGATTTATCTTTACATAAAAAGTGGCTAAATTTCGATTACTTTTGAAACTAGGCTATTTTTGAACGACCAGTTATAAATCTGGCTATTTTTGAATTTCTCCGTATTCATAATGCAAATAAAAGAGGAACTTACCTTTTTAAGAAAGAATATACTGTGTTACATTCCTAAAAACATAACAAGTAAAGAAAGGCAAATATTTGCACCCAAATATAAATAAAGAACGAGAAATAGTACTCTACAGAAAGAGTCCCGTCAAAATTATTGCCCTCTAGAGCTTATTTTTTTCATCCGAACTAATTTTAAGTTTTTCTTTTTGTCTATTGCTTTAGACTATAGTATAAAGAGGTCAATATACTATTTTAATTTTTTATTTCATTTTGTGATTATAGTAATTTTTTATTCCAGTACTCTCTTTGAAAACAGTTTTATTACGCGAATTTTTTAATGGAAGTTTATTTATGTAGAGAGTGATTTTTCCGTGGCTATAAGATAAGACGTATTTATTGTTAAAGTTATTTTGGCTCTGAAAAATTAAGTTCCTCAAGTCCCAAGACTGTAACAAAATTACTTAAATAAAAATAATAATAAAGTCACAATGGACTTCATGATTGTTGCCTCGATCTCAATACAGCATAGGTGTATGAAAAAATCTCAGATGTACACTACTACCCTAAATCACCCCAATCTCTTAAATATAATATTATACAAATTTTACTAATATTATCCGATTAATATGAAAAATGTTTCAATAACTTTGAGCCAGCTATTAATAAAATTAAAGGTGGCTCTTCTTTCAGTAATAATAAGTCAAGATTGTTTATGCTACATACAAAACACACATACATGTTTATACTTTCCAGTCCCAAGTGATATCCCCTTACTATGTGGACTCAATTACAGAAAGTCTAGGACTATACACACATAAATAGATATTATTCATCTAATTCAGAATTAATAAGAAAACCAGAAGAATTATGTATATAATGCTTTACGTCTATCTTTCAAGTATGCAAAATTATTAAATCATTAAAAGTGTATAATTTGCTTCATGAAAAGGTTTAATCTTCGATCTAATTATCAATGCAAGAAACATATAGCCACAATATATAGCGTTTTCTTGCTGAGGTACGTTGTTGTTCATTATCTATTTGATTATTATTGACGTTGTTCTTGAAACTTTTTGATTGATCATCACCGCCATCAAGACTCGATCCTTCATAAGCATACTCCATCACTCATGATACATGTCAAAACTCTAGTTTCAGGACCCTAGAATCTCCACACAAAAAAGGCAAGACAAATAGGGACAAAAAGAAAAAGAAACGTTTAAGGGAAAGAAGTTCATGTTTTCAACAATACACAAATTAGTCCCCGTTTGGAGAAAAAAAAAATCAGCAATCGAAAGTAATGATACAAGACAAGCAAAACTAACACCATGTTAGAAAAGAATTATGCTAGCAAATAGAAAGATGATTAGAAGCATTAAGGGAAAGAAAATTTTCGACAATAGGACACATAACAAATTGAAGTTTAGTTATAATACTACATAAACTGCCTCTGAGTCTCGTACAAATTGGGGAGAGACTGTTGCAGAATGTAATTTGCTTCACTTTATATAGTGGTATAATGGCGTGGGATTTGTGTGTCTATGTAGGACACCTGATTGGTATTAGAATCCCATAAAAATTGAATTATACTTACCCTCGAAGACCATAATAGTAGGAATATTACTATTTTGTCCAAGATGCAATGAAGCTTAATTTAATTTACTAAGGTTAAAAAAATCGATCAATATTTTAAAGGATATTTTTGTCATTCAATATTTAGCGTGCAATATTCGTGCTTTTATAATAATATAGATAGATATAAATATAGATAGAGGCGGACCCAGGATTTGAGCACGACGGGGGCACCACTGTATGCTGATCACTAGCGATAAAATTCGGCGTGCAACTCTTTGAAACTTAATGATTATGGTGACTTATATATATATATATATATATATATAGAGAGAGAGAGAGAGAGAGAGAGATTTCTTCGCAAAAAGGGTATTATGGGAAGGGATTTGATTAAGCATGTTTATACTTTAAAATTCTAGTTTTTAGTTAAATAAAGGGGTCAGTGATCAAAAGGGCGTTCAAACTTAAAATTGTCAAAGACTTACTAAAGATCAAGATTAAGAATACGGTAATAGTAAAAGAATTGAAGAAGAGTCGCAAACTCTTAGTTGCCGTTGCCGAGTCAGATTGTTGAAGAAGGCTATCGCACAAGGATTTGTATTTTTCTATTCGTGGACTGATAAGTTACAATTTGAGGCTTTCAATTTTAAGGATGGAATTTGAAAAAAAATAAAATTAATGAAGTTGACTATTATGTATTAATATTAAACTATAAGTAAATTCAAAAAAGAAGAAAGTAAAAAAAAAACACTTTGCTATTAAATATAAATTACATTGTACTCAAAGAATGAAAATAGAAAAGAGGAGAAAAGACTGAAAAGTAGTAAAAAAGAGCTGAAGGTGGGGTTTGAACCTGCGTCACCAGTAAATGAAGGAATTAAAGCGTCCAAAAGGAACCACTACTCCCGTCGCCTCCTTTGTCTTTGGGGGCACACTTAATATATTTAACGGGTCCGTATATGTATGTACAGATATATAATATGTATATACAAAATTTTTGTCGAGGCTAACAGGGTCCCGTGACCCCTCAACCCACAACAGAGGTTCGCCTCTGAATATAGATATAGATATTTTTGTAATATATATATATATATATATATATATATAGAGGGAGAGATTCGTTATTATAATTTTCTCTTTGTGGTCACGATTTGAACTTCGGAACGAGACTGAGAGGATATTAACGAGGCCACTCAAAATTATACATTCTTCATTCTTTGTTCAAAGATGCTTGTTCAAATTAGAATATCTTGTGTTCAAATTCACCCTCTCTCACTCAATAGCCTCATAAAACAAAATTACATGTGAAATCAACATAATTTTACACTCTTTCAAGCTTTCTGTATGGATCTAAATTTGGACTACCACGACTGTTGATTAGTACGACAAGCGACGAGAACCTCGTAGCTCGATATCCTGCAGGAGATGATAGACGAGTGAACAAGAGATTATACGACCTTTGCAGTAGTGTAGGACCATTAGGGGGAATTAGAAATATTCTTTCAAATATTCTCTATGATTTGTCTTTTAGGGCTTAGAAGGGGTTTGTCCCTTATATGTATAGCGTAAAGACAACCTTGTAAGGGGCTTCTGCTGCATTTTTTCCAACTAAGAACACTTCCTGTAATACTTGCTTACAAAACGATTAATATCAGTATTGTTCGATCATTCCGGAGAAGGTCAAGAAATATTATCCTTTGTATTCATCTCGTATATCTTTTGTTCTAGAGATTATTATACTTAGCTAAGATTTACCCCTTCATTTCCTTCAATTGATTTATTCAAAAAGATCCCAATATCTTTTGAGTCAAACAATTTGGCGTCGTCTGTGGGGATTTCTATAGCTGAGATTTTAGTTGCGTCTAGATCTTTGAAAAAAGCAATCATCTCTTCTTCTCGCAAAGGCCAACAATGGCAGGAAAGGGAGAAGCAAGATTAAAGGCAATAGTAGGTGTCACGAACAACCTTTTGGACTCCATCAACGAAGTCGGTAGGGAAGACAATGAAAACGCAACGACAAGTGCTACACTTGAGGGAGATATCTCACCTCTCCCGCACGAAGGTGTGACTGTCTCGTGCGAGAGGGAAACCTCAACATCCGCAGCAGTAGAAGAACCACCAACTATGAAAAGGTTATTAGAAGAGTGGTTGACAAACACCTTGAGCAACATACTCGACAAACCCACTCAAAGGGATATCAGAGGCACTATACCCTCAGAAACCACAACTATCGCTGATGAGCCAGAAACTCCACACACAGGTAACACTCATACTGCCATTGATGTAGGTAACAATGCATTTGCGGCCATCTTAAAGAAAATGGAAGAGATGGAGAACAAGAACAAAATGCTACGCGATCAGATAAAGGAGTATCAGGAAAGGGTCGATAAAATACTAGGCCCTCCGAAGCTGCTACCAAAACATGATGTAGGCCGGTTTGTCGAACAACCATACAGTGAAGGGGTGGATCCCCACTCTATTTTGAAAACCTTTAAAATGCCGCCATATTTGAAAATATATGATGGCACCACGGACTCGGAATATCACTTAATCCACTACGTCACTGTAGTAAAAGGCAACGATCTGTCGAAAGAACAGGTGCCATCGGTGCTGCTGTAAAAGTTCGGAGAAACCCTGACAGGGGGAGCGCTGACATGGTATTCCCAAATACCATCATGATCGATATCAAAGTTCGAAGAAATGGCAGATAAATTCGTTATCGCTCACGGGAGAGAAAAAGGCAGAGGCCAGGGTAAATGACATCTTCGCCATCAGGCAGATGACAGACGAGGTGACTTCGGGATTTCCTATCCCGATTCAATAGGGTAAGAATGAGCCTACCGAACGTATCATAAGGTATGTTGGTAGCGGCCTTCCAAAATGGGTTAAACAGAAACGGGTCAAAAGCAACTAAAAAGCTGCTAAGTAGACTCATGAAGTACCCTCCCGCCACGTGGGAAGAAATCCATAATTCCTATTGTGCCGAAGTAAGGGCAGACGAGGATGACCTAAATGGCCTGATCCAGCGTCTAACATCGGTCCAAACTGAAACAAGGAGAGATTGCCGCAATGATGGTCGAAGGGACCAACTATCCCGTTTCAATCGAGCAAAACATTAGCCTTATATCCGAACATCCAACCCACCTCCTCCACGACATGCAGATGTCAAGCCTCGACACATCGCGCCATCTCGAAACAAAAGAGGTATGCCTCCACTATTATCTGCTCATAACTTCTGTGTTTCTCCTTCAGAAATAGTGTATGCGCTGGAAAAGCTCAGCACAAAGGTGCAGTGGCCGCAAAAAATGAAGTCAGATACGAGCACCAGGAAGTCGAACGTTCTATGTGAATTCCACCAGGAAAGAGGACACAAGACCGAAGACTGCATAGGTCTGCGACAGGAAGTGGTAAGAATGCTAAATCAGGGATACCTGAAAGAGTTGTTGAGCGATCGAGGACAGGCTAACTTCGCTCGCGGACGTGATCAACCTCAGGGAACTCCAAAACCACCATCACCAGCTCGCACCATACAAATGATCATTGGTGGCGACAACGATATGGTTATCAACCATGTGAAATTCACTACCACACACAAACTCAAGCGGACAGTCGCCCATGAACGGTATGACGACCTCGAAGATAGTATCATCTTCGATAAGTCGGATACCAACGGTTTGTCTTTCAGTCACTATGATGCTTTGGTTATAACTTTACATATCGCGGATACCAATGTAAAAAGAATAATGGTGGATGACGGAAGCGACGTATCTATTATTTACCCACGAGTCATCATACAGATGAGACTTGAGGATAAGATAGTACCGCGTTGTATAACACTAACGGGTTTTAATAATGTAGTGGAACGGACCTCTGGAAAGATAGTGCTACCCGTTCTGGCAGCAGGAGTCACCCTGGAAACGAAATTCCACATCATGAACCAAGAAATAGCCTACAATGCCATCATAGGGCGGCCGTGGATACATGCCACGCAAGTCGTCCCGTACCAAGTAATCAAATTCCCTACCCCATGGGGGATATTCAGCATTCGGGGACAGCAACGCACCACCCAGGAATGCTATCGAATCACCCAGGACTGCACACACACCCAACAACTAAAGGGGCAAGTGCAGAAGCATAGCAATCAGCCATATCGGGAACCAAACCCGACATACAAATAGAGGCCATCAAAGAACCGGATGTCGTAGAAGCCTGCAAGGCAACCAGAGAAGACCTTGACCCCATTCAACTGGACAACACCAACAGCACGAAAAGGCTTATATCGGACACAACCTCTCAGAACCAAGTAAGTTCCATGAGTTCTTAACTAACAATGCCGATTTGTTTGCCTTTTCCCATTCAGATATGTCGGGAATTCCAAGGGACATCGTTATACATAGGCTGAATGTCGACCCTCTTTACCCACCAGTATGGAAAATGATGAGAAAATTCAATGTCGCCATCAATGGGGTAGTTAGCGAAGAAGTTTATAAGTTGCTCGCTAATAGTTCCATCCGAGAATTGAAGTATCCTCAGTGGGTCGCCAATGTGGCCATGGTAAAAAAGAAGAATGGGAAGTGGCAGATGTGTGTCGACTTTATCAACCTGAGCAAAGCATGCCCGAAAGATTCCTTTCCGTTACCACATATCGACCAGCTCATCGATGCTACGGCGGGACACGAACTACTAAGCTTCTTAAAGGCTATTCACCAAGATACTCAAAGAACAACTTGGTAAGACCATGGAGGTTTACATCGACGACATGCTTTTGAAGTCGAAAAATAAAAAGGATCACATTGGTCATTTGAAGGAAGCCTTTGAGATATTAAAGCGATACGGAATGAAACGGAATCCCGAAAAATGTGCCTTCAGCGTAACCTCAAGAAAGTTCCTTGGTTTTCTAGTGTCACAAAGGGTTATCGAAGTCAACCCGAATCAGATCAGGGCCATCGAAGGAATACCAGAGACATTAACCAGCAAAAAGTAGGTGTAGAAATAAACAGGACGAATAGCCGCCCTGTCGAGGTATTTTTCATGATCATCAGACAAATGCCATAAATTCTTCAATGTACTAAGGAAAGACCACGGGCTACAGTGTAATTCAGAATGCGTCGATGCCTTGAGAAAACTGAAAGCGTATTTGTCCTCGCCACCACTACTCGTCAAGGCAGACCCGGGCAAATGCCTCTTGGTGTACCTAGTCGTATCCAAAGTAGCGGTAACTCCAGTTTTGGAGGTACTCAATCTCCGATTTACTATATCAGCAAAACCTTAAAATTGATGCCGAAACAAGGTACCCTCACCTTGAGAAACTAGCTCTGGCATTAGTCGTAGCTTCACAAAATCTTAGACCATATTTTCAATGTCACCCCATCAAGGTGGTGACAACCTTCCCCCTCAGGGTAATCCTACACAAACCCGAGCTATCGGGTAGGTTGGCCAAATGGGCCATAGAATAAAGCGAGCACAATATAACATACCAACCGCGAACTGCTATAAAGTCGCATGTGCTCACCAACTTCGTTGTCGATTTCAGCACGGAAATATTGCCTGAAGTAGAGTAGGAGGCGCTCCTCGCTTCCACACATTCCGACCTCTAGGTCCTCTACACCGACGGCGCATCTAATGTATCGGGATCGGGAATAGGACTTGTCCTCGAGGTTCCTACGAGCGAAGTAATTCGCTAGTCCATACGATGCCCCGAGATGACTAACAATGAGGCCGAGTATGAAACTATAATTGCTGGATTGAAATTAGCCCTCAAATATGGCGCTCGACGACTCGTCCTCAATTGCAACTCTCAACTCGTGGTAAACCAAGTCACTGGGACTTTCCAAATCAAAGAACAGAGACTACAAAAATACCAGTCAGAAATTCACAAGCTGCTGCCAGAATTTGATGAATTCTGCCTCGACCAGATACCTAGGGCACAGAATATCAAAGCGGATGGTCTCGCCAAACTAGCAGCAGCCACCAGAAATATCAACAAGGAAAACGTGGTCACTTTTCTCCATTCCTCAATAGACCAGGTTGAGGTACATTCTCTAAACCTAACTTGGGACTGGAGCAACCGTATCCTAACATATTTGTAGGATGGAACGCTCCCACAAGATAATAAAAAGCCCAAAAAGCTTCGAATACAGGCAGCCAGATACAGCCTCGTAAACTGTGATCCTTACAAGAGAACGTTCAGTGGCCCTCTGGCCAAGTGTCTTGGGCCAAATCAAATAAGACGAGTACTAGGAGAAGTACACGAGGGGCACTACGGTGCCCATACAGGAAACTGCGGCCTCATCCGATGCCTCATCCACGCCGGATACTACTAGCCTACCATGAAAAAAGAAGCTGCGAATTACGTCATGAGGTGTGAACAGTGTCAAAAGTACTCCCCTATGATACACCAAGCAGGAGAACTCCTACATTCCATCACTTCGCCATGGCCATTCATAAAATGGGGAATGTATGTTGTCGGGCCCCTCCCGACAGGATGAGGTAAGGTATGTTTCCTTTTGGTTTTAACTGACAATATTTCTAAATGAGTGGAAGTAGGTGCATACACTCAAATACGTGAGCAAGAAATTATCGCATTCATATGGAAAAACAGAATATGCCACTTCGGCATTCCCAAAGAAATCAGCTATGACAACAGACCTCAGATCATCAGAAAGAAAACGACCGAGTTTCTTGAAAAATAGCACATCAAGCGAATATTCTCCACACCATACCATCCCGCCGGTAACGGCCAAGCTGAATCCTCTAATAAAGTGATACTGAATATATTGAAAAAGAAGCTCGAGGATGCCAAAGGGCTATGGCTTGAAATGCTGCCAGAAGTACTATGGGTATACCACACTATGCCAAAAACTAGCACAGGCGAGACGCCATATTCATTAGTCTATGGGACTGACACGGTTATACCCGTCGAAGTTGGAGAACCTAGCTTGAGTTACTCCAACGAAAGCGGACCAAGCAATAACGAAAGTAAGCTACAAGATCTGGATAAAAGCGAAGAGTGAAGAGATATGGCCCACATAAGAATGGTAGCCCAAAAGCAACAAGCAGTACGACTGCTCAAGGTCGGAGACTACGTCCTCAAAGCTAAAACACAAGAAGTGAAATATCCTAATGAGGGAAAACTGGGAACAAATTGGGACGAGCCATACAAAATCACGGCAGCAGCAAACAAAGGAGCATTCCAGTTAGAGACAATAGAAGGAAAACTACTTCAAAATAATTGGAATGTCGCTCACCTCAAGTACTTCCACTTCTAAAAGGAGGCGCCACCTAAGTCATACTCTTTTTCCCTTATCCGAGTTTTGTCCCAATCGGGTATTATTGGTAAGGTTTTTAATGAGGCGGCAAGGGGGACGTCTCGAGGTCCGAAGTATTGTTCATTACCCCGCCCGCCAACGTGATCTCCAAGCCGAGTAATGAAGGGACAAGATATAGATAATCAAATCTCCATTATATATACAAAGTTGACATGTATTTCCTACATGAACATAATCAAATCTCCAACGTATAAACGAAAATCCCAAAAGCTAAGGCTATCGACAAAGATGGGTTCAACTTCACTCGAACAACGGGATCCTACTTCGATGCCAGTTCAAAGGTAACATCCCAATGGCTAAGGCCATCGACGAAAAACGAGTTCGACTTTACTCGAACTACGACGGGATCCTACTTCGACGCCAGTTCGAAGGTAACATCCCAATGGCTAAGGCCATCGACAAAGACGAGTTCGATTTCACACGAACTATGACGGGATCCTACTTCGACGCCAGTTCGAAGGTAACATCCCAATGGCTAAGGCCATCGATGAAAAATGAGTTCGACTTCACTCAAACTACGACGATATCCTACTTCGACTCCAGTTCAAAGGTAACATCCCAATGGCTAAGGCCATCGATGAAAAATGAGTTCGACTTCACTCAAACTACGACGATATCCTACTTCGACTCCAGTTCAAAGGTAACATCCCAATGGCTAAGGCCATTGAAAAAGATGGGTACGACTTCACTCAAACTACGACGGGATCCTACTTCGACGCCAGTTTGAAGGTAACATCCCAATGGATAAGGCCATCAATGAAAAACGAGTTTGACTTTACTCGAACTACGATGGGATCCTACTTCGACGCCAGTTCGAAGGTAACATCCCAATGGCTACGGCCATCGACAAAGACGAGTTCGACTTCATTCGAACTACGACGGGATCCTACTTAGACGTCAGTTCGAAGGTAACATCCCAATGGCTAAGGCCATCAATGAAAAACGTGTTTGACTTCACTTGAACTACGACGGGATCCTACTTCGACTCCAGTTCTAAGGTAACATCCCAATGACTAAGACCATCGACGAAAAACGAGTTCGACTTCACTCAAACTACGACGGAATCCTACTTCGATGCCAATTTGAAGGTAACGTCCCAATGGCTAAGGCCATCAATGAAAAATGAGTTTGACTTCACTCGAACTATGATGGGATCCTACTTCGATGCCAGTTCGAACGTAACATCCCAATGGCTAAGGCCATCGACGAAAACCAAGTTCAACTTCACTCGAACTATGACGAGATCCTACTTCGAATCCAGTTTGAAGGTAACATCCCAATGGCTAATGCCATTGACGAAAAATGAGTTCGACCTCACTCGAACTACGACGGGATCCTACTTCGACGCCAGTTCGAAGGTAACATCCCAATGGCTAAGGCCATCGATGACAAACGCATCCGAATTCCCTCGAACTATGACGGGATACCACCTTGATGCCAGCTCAAGAGTAGCATCCGAAAGGCTAAGGCCATTGCCAAAAATAAAAGGGTTAACCTAACCCGAAGCAAATTCGGCTTAACAATTCGACAAGTACACAGAATGTCATAAATATTACAAACATCATCACCAAATTGACAAAACGAGTTCTTCATTACAACAAAATATTACTAGCACCTATCTTTACCACAGGCTCAAGCATGCCCTTACAAAAATCCTGAATCAAAAATAAGTACAAACCAAAAATTACACATCATCCCCGGCAGGATACGCATCTTTATACCAAGAGTCAAAGGGAAGATGGTTCGCATCATCAGAATTGATGTCATCCTCGTCGGGCATAACTCAGCTCACCCTTAAGCCCATCAATCTCCACGCCTTCGTACCCAATTCAGCGGTCAAACTGGCCACC